TGTATTAAAATGCATGGGAGAATGGATTATTTGCAAACGCATGACATTTTATATGCATTTTCCAAATGCTCTTCTGCTCGGTGCATTTGATTGCAATGAAATTTCGAATGTGCCTTAATGATTTTCAAGTTTGTTTGGACTAGCTATGTATGTCTGGCTAACACTAACTACAGGTTAAACATGGATATAGATCCCTGTTATCACGTCGATAGCGATGACTAACCTGCTGTTAGTGTTAACCAGACATTGAGTAACCGGCCCTAAGAGTGGCTGGAGTTGAGTTATTTTTGGAAAACTGTTTTCATGGGCAAATCAGGCTCAAATTTAGCTTTTCTTTGGTGGAAACATAGAACGTCAGAAAAGATCTTGTGTATCGATGTCTAATCTGAAAAGTTATCTGCATTAGAATACTTGTACGCAGATACATACATATATCTTTGTCACTTAAATGCTATTTATTAGATTAAATTTATAAGTTAGGCGAACTTCTAGATTTTCTAGGTTGGAACTTTTGAGGTAATTGTTATTATTGACTTATGGATTGTTATTAAGCAACCCTCATCATAGAATTCTCTGGCGTCTCAATGATAGTAATGTTTACCTTGACTTTTCTAGTTAGCCTCGCCCATCAAAAGTATTATGGTGTTTAGTCAACCTGAACATCAAAGTTTTGTGGCATTAAACATAGGTTCGAAACATTAAACTTGTTTTTTTATTGATAGAAAAACTTATAAGTGATTGTCACAGGCGGGACACGATAAAACGTTTCAAAATCTCTAAAGTCGGCACTTATAATATAATAAAAGAAATGAAATAGGGCTGCATAGTATAAACACACTCTAGTTATGAAATTATAGAAAAATCTCTAAAGTAGTAACTAAGCAATACGAAGTTTAAAACTTTTTTGTCACGGGTGGGACATGCAAAACCGTAGTGATTTATTATTAATTATTTTTAAATGCCTATTTTTCTTCAATGTCATGTTGCTTCTTTGGGACGAAGAAAGATCGAGACATTTATTTCCCACTTCAAAAAAATAATAACTTTGTAAATAATTGATTTTGCAGAGCCTTCTGTATTAAGAAATATTGTCGTATTCAACTACTTTTCTAATGTTGAAGTTTTGAGTGCATTTACAATGTAATAAAATAATATAACAAACTTTTTTTTTCGAAAATACGTTAATTTGAGGTATTTTGCATTGATGCATCAAGCATTCCATGTTCAATAAGTTACTTTATAATTGTGCACAAAGTTTCACTTACTCATGGAATACCCCTAATACAAAAAGTATATGTAAAGTATATATAAAAATACCGTAGTCAAACGAAAGAATGTTAAGAAATCTTTAGTTTGACCATTTATAATGTTTGAAGAGGGTTGCCACGTGTTTCTTCTTCTTCTTCTTAATTGGCGCTGTAACCGCCTAAGCGATTTTGGCCGAGTCCAAAACAGCACGCCAGTCATTTCTCTTCTGTGCTAACTGACGCCAATTGGAAATGCCAAGTGAAGCCAAGTCCTTCTCCACCTGGTCTTTCCAACGCAGAGGAGGCCTTCCTCTTCCTCTGTTACCAGCATCGCGGCCCGCGTTGAATATTTTCAGAGCAGGAGCGTTTCTGTCCATCCGAACGACATGGCCAAGCCAGCGGAGCCGCTGAATTTTAATTCGCTGCACTATGTCTATATCGTTGTAAAGCTCATACAGCTCATCGTTAAATCGTCTGCGATATTCGCCATCACCAACGCGTAAAGGTC